AGAGTCTGGCCATCTTCGAGTGTGCTCATAGTGCGTTTGGATCTACAAGACTTGTCCAGAATTTACCAAGAAAGTGGCGCCATATTGAACCCTCTTGGCATCTGCTTGCTGATCTTTCCTTACCCAGTACTTCTTCTAGCTCACTGCTGTGTTTACATTTTCATTTCAATATTGATAACCTTGACAGAGTCATTATCACTAATTGAAGTCCTTTGCCATAATATGAAAATACTAATTTTGGCATTATAAGATTAACCCCTATATACTTTCCAACATTCTAGTTTTTGCCTATCCTCCTTTCAAGTTAATATCCTATGTTTGGTGTACTTACAATGTGCTTTTCTGTTGATGAGAAGTGGTTCTAAGTAAATAAGTTCTAACAAGCATTGATTAGTAACAGTTCATCGGTTAGAGGAATAAAAAAGAGAAGAGGGAATCTTCAGGAGAGAAGGAAAGTATCTGTTTAAATGTAATTTGTCTTCTTCCTAGCTGTGTGACCTTGGACAAGTTATTTAATCCTCGTGAGCCTTGGTTTTCTCATCTGTAAAATGGGAATAGTAATAATAGTAATAATAATGAATAATAATGCCACCTTCTTCAAGAAGTGCTAGAATAAATATTCTAAGGTAAGCACATGGCACAGAGCATTGATACATGTATATAATGTTTTATACATAAGTTTTCAGATATTATCATTAGATATTATTATTTGCTTTTAGTTAATTACTAGGTATTAGGCACTGTAGAATCTGAGATAAGTTGGGGACTCTACCCCAAAGGAACTTCTAGTCTGATGAAAGAGTCAGATATATACGAAAAATGTAATATTACAAGAGTTTAGTGCTGTTAGAGAAATACAGGGCACCTGAGAAACGTTGAGGTGGGAGAAACACCTGATGTGGGCTTTGGGGAGTAGGATCAAGGTAGGCTCTTACAAGAGAAGGCATCTAAGCTGAGTCTTAAAGGATGCAGAAGTTAAGAGAGGAGCCTTCCAGAGAGATGGAATACCATGTGCAAAGGCCTGGAGTGCAGGGGTTTAGTGGGATTCAGGGACATGGAAGCAATGCAGCATAACTAGAATACAGAATGTGTTGGGATGGGAAGAACAAGCAGGTGCCAGGTCATCAAGAGAAATGTAGTTTGGACTTGAAGTCATTTGCAACTTGAAGCTATTGAATAATTTGTTACAGAGGCACATATCATTTACGTTTTAAAAGATCATTCTGGCAACACTGGAGAGCAGATTAGAAGAAGAAAGACAAGGTAGCAATTTTTAAAAGATTATTTCAATAATGCATGGAAAAAGTATCAGATTCTGAAAGGGAGGTAGTAGAAATTCAGTGGAGAGTCTGTGAAGGAAATGGATTTACAAGAAGAATGAACAGCATTTGGTGATAGACTGTTTTTGGGTTTCAGGAGAAGGAATCAGTAATGGTACTCAGATATCTGGCTTTGGTAGCTAGGTAGCTGTCATACCTTCTCTAAAATAGATTAAGGGGAGGATGAGATTTCCCAGGGGAAATTAGTTGACTTTTGCATGTAAGGTGTTTGTGGGATATCCAGGTGAAACTGTCCAGTAAAGGTGAAGAGTGGCTCTGGGAGTTGTGAGAGCTCTGGCTTGCAGCTGTCCTCTGGGAAGATGAGCCTCAATGAGGGGACAACCGGGGGCTGGTGACATCACCAGGAAGCAGGCAGTGAAGAGCTGGGTATTCACAGTCCTCAGCTTAAGTACTCCAGAAGGCTTGAACAAATGTAGAGCGTCAAGAGTAGAGTCTCACTTAAATCTCCTAACAGCCCTGTGAGGTAGGAAGTATCTCACAGGATGAGAACATTTTGACTCAAAGAGTTAAGTGATTTGCCCAAATGGATTTTGCGACTAAGTGGAAGAGCTGGGATTTCAAGTCCAGTCTGTCTGATTTTAAAGCCCGTTTTTCATACCATACCCTGCTTCTTTGTAGACCTCAGAAGTTTAAACGTATGGTCATCTTTAATTGTCTCTCTTTACCACTGCCCGTGTTCTGGTTTAGTAAGATTGTGAACAGCCTTTTAAATAACCATCTTTAATTTCCCATACTTCATTCCCAAACACATCTATCAGATTGACTCATCCTATGCAATTCTACTCCAAATGCCTACTTTAAAACAACAGACCAGCTGGGTTTGGTGGCTCAGCCTGTAATCCCAACGCTTTGGGAGACTGAGGTGAGTGGATTGCCTGAACCTGCGGGTTCGAGACCTGCCTAGGCAACTTGGCAAGACTTCATCTCTGCAATAAGTCAAAAAAATTAGCTAGGCATGGTAGCGCATGCCTATAGTTCCAGCTACTCGGAAGGTTGAGGCGGAAGAATCACTGGAGCCCAGCAGGTCGAGGCTGCGGTGGCTGGGAGTGTGCCATTGTACTCCAGTCTGGGCGACAGAGTGAGACTCCAACTCAAAAAAAACAGACCAACAGAACTTCTCCACTGGCCACTGGATCAAGTCTGTACTCCTCAGTTTGGCATTCATGGCTCACCATGAGATCACGAAGACTGTTCAAAACGTTTCCATATTTCCTATTTCTCATCAGCACATATTCATGGTGTCATTTTTGTGTGGCTCTCATTGTGGTGATCTCAAAGTGTTCCTTATAAGGATGTTATTTTAAAGTTTAGATTAAAATTAATCTTAGGATTACTCTATACCATCTTTCTAAAAATGATTCTGTGGTGGAATCAGCTTGGTTGTCTTTGGACCTTAGTTCCCTGTACACTGTAAAGATTCTTTGCGTTCTACCCCTAATGTGATAGCCAGCCTCTGCTCCTGTACTTTTCTGGAGGGATCCTTTGTTTGAGGAGAGAAGAAGAAATAAATTCTAATTACTAGAGATTTTATATTATTGAGCCAGTATTGCTCTTTTGACATCCATTTGTTTCCCAAGACCCACTTTTGAGACAACAGAGAAGTCAGTTTTTTCTTCTGTTTCACGAAGGCCTGCCAGGCATTGAAAGACAGCTCTTATGTCTCTGCTCAGGTTTCTCTTCCATAATCCAAATAACCTTTCTTGCTTGGAGCTTTTCTGCTGTGACAAGTCTCAAACTCTCTACTATTCTCTGGCCCTCCTCCAAGAATCTTGCAGTTTGGTCAGTGCTCATCTAAAACATAGGGCCCAGAATAACACAGCACCCCACAAGAGAGGAATGCAACATTTAGTTTCTTGATTAGGACTCAATGCTTGTACCTGAAAAGTCTGGGATTGCTTGAGTGTGTTAGCAACCATGTCAAGTTTTGCATTCATTCTGTAGATACTATTTTGCATAATTGACAAACTAGCCTCTCCCCTATCATCTACTCTGCAGTTGATTTTCTTTTATGTGTGGAATAAATTTTCCTAGTGATATTCCAACTTCCTTTTGACTGATCTTTTTAGCCACTTATGATTCTGCTATGTAGTGTGTTGTTAACTATGCCTCCCAGCCGGGTGTGGTGACGCGCCAGTAGTCCTAGCTACTCAGGAAGCTGAGGCAAGAGGATTATTTGAGCTCATGAGATCGAGGCTGCAGTGACCAATGATCATGCCATTGCACTCCAGCCTGGGCAACAGAGTGAGACCTTGTCTCCAAAAACAAATCAAAAAACACAAAACAAAACTGTGTTTCACAATTTGGAGTCATCTGGAGATTTTGAAGCATACTTTCCATATCTTTATACAAATTCTTGATAAACATAGCAAAAACAGAGGGCCCCCCCATTCCACCTTGAAGTTAATCAGTGCTACTTATGAATGATTCTGTTAACTACTGTTCAGTCATCCTGTCTTTTCATCTTACCTATAAAGAGCTTATTTGTTCATTTTTATTTAGCACACATGTACAAGAAAATGCTAGAGAGACAGTGAAGACAGCAGTCCCTGTCTTATACTAACAACCTAGCAATGTCATGAAATACTTTGTTAGATCGTTTGTGGAAATCAAGTTGCACAATTATCTGTGATATTTCTCTTATCTGGAACCTATCAGAAAACGGAATAAGGCTTTGCTTTTTGTAGACTCCATATTGGGTGCTAACGATCTTCTGTCACCTACAGGTAGAATTCACTCCCTTTCTCTTTTCACCTTTCATGGTTTCACAAATAACTTTGAACTTTGGATGTCTTTGACGCTCATTAACGTGACAACGTCTTTTGTCTATATCTTTTAAAACTCTGAGATCATTAGAGAGCAGTCTGTATAGCCATATTTTTGGTGGTGGTATTTAAGTGTCTCTTTTTTCCACATTATCAGGAATTAGTTTTTATTTTATGGTAAACTCAAAGAATTTCTGTCAGATTTAGGCATTTTCCCCCTCACACTTTTTGTCATTCAGATTTTATATATCTTTATGTTTTGAAATGATTTATCCTAAGGAGAAGTAGCAGTGGCTATCCTCAGATTTTCTTCTTTTAGTTCTTAAAATGACATAGTTGCTTTCTCCAGGATCCTGGTCCTTTTCACTTAAACCATTCAAGTTTGTCAGCATTAAGTCCAGGTGAATAAAACAGAACTATGAATTTTGTGTTTTCTGAGGAGTTAACCAATCAGCAATGCAAGGTGTGATGTTTTCATTGGGGTGATACAAAGAACAGGTCTCTTCCTTGTTGGCAGCCCACTTGTCTTCCTTGGCATGGATTCTCTCGTTAGTCAGGTGTCTTCCACATTCTCCCCCTGGCCAGTTTTCACAACTACAGCATTTCTGCCGACTCTTTCCTTTCTACTGTACTGTCTTTTTCACATTATTGGATTTGCACATTGATATTTATTTTCTTGGTCAGTTGGGAGGATTCTCCTGCCTTTTCTCTAAATCTCTGTAGGTGCCATAGTCTGTTGTGCCCCATCCCACCAAGTCTTGGTGGTTTCCATGAGATTTTATTTATCTCCTTGAGTTCTTTTTTACTATTGCTGCTTTTAAGTATAGTGCTTAGCACATTAATGTTCAATAAGTAATATTCATGATTAATCTCAAGAAGTATTTGCCTTTTCTTTTAGGCTGTGAGGATATCATTGCTGAGAGCATCTCATTAGATACTTTAATTGCCATCCTCAAGTGGAGCTCTCATCCATATGGCTCTAAATGGGTGCACCGACAAGCTTTACATTTCCTCTGTGAGGAATTTTCCCAGGTCATGACTTCGGATGTTTTTTATGAACTCAGCAAAGACCATCTGCTTACTGCTATCCAGTCTGACTACCTACAGGTAATCATTTATACACCTCTCAAATTCATTGTCATTCGTTACGTACACCAAGAAATCCATCCATACTTTATTATTCTTCCGTCACGAGTTGGGAAGGAGGAGAGAAATGGGCTGTGATCAAACCACCCAGGACTGCCCTCTTCATATTTTGGCAACAAAAGCCTTCTTTCTGGCTCACTTGATCTTCATACACCAAAAAGCCGTTGAAGTGGTAGGCAAGGTCAGAAGCACATCATGACAGTGATTGTCTTGGCTTCCATTAATACCGATTTCTATAATGGTTTCTTTCTTTTGATGGAGTGTCACATGCTTAAATTGTAGGCTATAGCTTCAGCACAAAGTAAAAATATTATTTAATTTCTGATCTGTTCAAATAATTATAAAAACTGAGTGTATATGTTCTGCCAAAATATGTTTTCAACTACTTATTTTTAAAATTTAAAAACAACATTTTTGAGCAGAAGTCTCTTACTCTGTCTCCCAGGCTGGAGTGCAATGGCACAGCCACCACAGCTTGGCCCACTGGGCACAGGCGATACTTCCGCCTCAGCCTTCCAAGTAGCAGGGACTACCGGTGCGCACCACCACGCCTGGCTCGTTTTTTAATTAATTGTAGAGACGAGGTCTCACTAAGCTGCCCATGCTGGTCTTGAACCCCTGGACTCAGGCAATCCACTCGCCTCTACCTTCCAAGTGCTGGGATTACAGGTGTGAGCCACTGCTTCCGGCAACTGCTTATTTTTAATCAGAAGTAGTTTTTACCAAATTCTTGTTTTCTTGACTTACATGTCACTCTAATTTGGTAATTTAAATGAATAATAGATTTTTAAAACTGCCCCCCAAAAATCTTTCAGGTAAAGTATGTTCAACCTTATTTATTTATTTTTGTATTGGCTGCATGAATATTATGTTAAAAACTGTACAACTGCTTTAATGCTATGAAGACATAAACCCATTGAGCTATTTCCTATCTCCTTTGAATTTGTACTAGAAAAATTATAAAATGCTACCATTTTAGTTAGAAATGTAGTAAAGAGTTAAGTAATCCACTCAGCATCTGTGCATTTTCCTTTGTATGTTGCTTTGATTGCGGTACAAATGTTGTGATACTTAGGCTTGATTTATGGAGAATCTTTGTTCATTACCTTGTCTCACTGTCCTGGCCAAGACTGGATGTTACATGTTTATAGAAATTAGGATTTGTCAGTTCTGTATATTGAGCTTTGTGTTCCTTCTTGGAAACTGAAATACTTGGAGAGCGGCCTGGGTTTGCTCTAAGACTTTAAATAAAGTACAGAAAAATGAGGAGTACATTGCTGTTTCACAGATTGTGCTTCAAGAGTTCTTCACCAGTCAGTAGAAGGCCTTGTAGAGACTATAGTGTCTTCTGCCAAATCAAGTTGCTGTGCTTGTTTTTCTTGTCCCTGCAGAAGATAGTAGTCAATCTGTATCCCTGTACTTTCACTTTCATTTATCTCTATCTTGTTCCAGAAAAGAATTTAAGACAGCTGTATAGAAACCATATAGTAAGATAAGATAATTTAAAATGGGAAAGGAACAGGATAAAGAAAAAAAAGATGGAAATAAGAATACAAAATTTAGTTGGAGCCAAGAGTGAGGTTGCTGGATAAAATATACGTAATGCGGTCTTGTATATTTGCTGTTGATAGATCACAGAATTAACTTTAAAATTCCAAATAGCCAATAGAAAGAGTGGAACACGGTAAGTTGCATGCTGTATTTACATTATGACTTAGAAAAAAATCATTAATGAAATTAACCATTTATTAAATTTCACGAAAATAAATGTAAACCTTTTTTTAATTGTAGGCGAGTGAACAAGATATCCTTAAATATCTGATTAAATGGGGAGAGCATCAGTTGATGAAAAGAATAGCAGATAGAGGTAAGCTTGTGCTAATTAGCTTGTGTAGCTTGTGTAAATATTTGGTGGTTCTTACAGTCTCAAAAGCTTACTGAAATGCTGTGCTGCACATCAGTTTTGAAAATTGACACTATTGTCTGGTGAAGATAGAAGTTTTTATAATCAGTGAAATCCTTTAGTGGAGTGGGCATAATTTGTTAAAATAAATGTATCAGAAAAATCTTATTTTGTAACTTTAATAGGATACGTTTTATTATGTTCTTACATGCTTAATAATATATGTTGACTGATTCATGGAAATATTAGAATGAAAAATTTCATGAAATAATTAAAGTGTTATAAAAGCACATTGTTGATGAAAGTGTTCTGGAATGAGTGTTGATGGTTGCACAACAATGTGAATATACTAAAAGCCACTGACGTGTACACTTTTAAATGTTTTAAGTAGCAAATGGTGTATTATGTGAATTTTACCTCAATAAAAATATGAATACAGATGAAACATTTGTTTATTTTTCAATGTTGTGGAGGGTGAAAGAGAAGTCATCCTTTGGAATGACCTCCAGCTGGGGTTGCTGGAGGAGAGAGGGGCATCTTAGTGGGAGGCTGGGCTTTCAGCTTAGGGTTCTCTGAAGTCTTCTACTTGTGTCTCCTTGCCTGTCTACCTGTTGTCCTCACCTCATGCATTGTTGTTTGCCTTTACATGAGGGGGGACCCAAGGAAAACCGGAATTATCTTTTGGAGGGCAGGCCCCTCATAGTATGTTTGGAATTTGTTCCTGCGGATCAAACAATCAGCCAATGTTTTTATCTATTTTTATTTATTTTTATTTTTTGAGTTGGAGTCTCACTCAGTCGCCCAGACTAGAGTGCAGTGGCCGCTCCCGGCCACCGCAGCCTCGACCTGCTGAGCTACTTTTTTTGATTGATTGTAGAGATGAGGCCTTGCCAAGTTGCCCAAGTGGTTCTCGAACCTGCGAGCAATTCACTCACCTTGGCTGCTCAAAGCGCAGGATTACAGGCTGAGTCACTGAACCTGGCCGATCACCTAATGTTTTTATCTGGAAGTTCTGAGAAGATTGTGTCACGGTTTGTGGGAGAAGCGTCCTGAGTTGAGACAGATGGGTGACTGGTTCCACCGCCGTGACAATGCACACTGTGCTGAGTGTTCAGCAGCTCTTGACCCAAAATGGCCTGACCCCCCTGGCCTGCCCTCCTCATCGACCTGATCTTGCCCCAAGTGACTTTCTCTTGGTTTCCCTGATGGAAAAAATTCTCGAAAGAAAGTATTTTGCCAATGTGAAAGAGGTGAAAGGAAAAGCAGCCAAAGCACTGAAAGGCATAAAAAACGATGAGTCAAAAAACTGCTTTGGGCAGTGGGAAAAGCATCTCGCTAGGTGTATTGCATCAGACAGAGAATAGTTTGAAGGTGACTGAAGTTTCAACATGTAAGAATAAATTCACAGTTTTTTATGAATAAATTTCGGTGGGGGGGGCTCCCCCATATACTGAATACAAATTTAAAATTAGAGAAAGTCAATACAAATTTTCGTTTTCTGTCACTTTTCAATAGCTGTTTTCAGATATAATTGGTATATCATAAAGTTTACCTGTTATGAAGTGTTCAAGTCAGTGGTTCTTAGTATATTTAGATTTGTCCTGTCATATTTTTAAATATGAAAGATACTGTACTAAACCTACCTTCAAAATTTCTTATGGATAGTAGTTCTTTAGCATGCTACTACTTAAGCACTAGGGAACAAGCAGTCTTCCAATTTTATTTCTTCTATTTTATTTTTCTGTGGCCTGCAAAAGAATTTAGCAATTCTTAGATTTGAATTTTTTAATGTAAAAACCACAACAGTTAATTTAGAAAGTTTTTTTAAATGCCAATATGCAATTGATCCTTATTTGTATAGACTGTATATGTGAATTTACATACTTACTAAAACTTCCTTGTAATGTTAAAATTCACATCCATGGCACTTTCACAGTCGTTCGTAGACACGCACAGAGCAGCAAGAAATTTGCCACCCAGTGAGCATATTCCCCACTAAAGTTGAACAAGGCAATGCCTTCTTGTTTTAGAGCTCCTTTTGTAAACAAGTATCCTTTCATAATCTATTTAGTGCCACTAAGTAGCTTTTACATTTTTAATGTTTTTTATTAGTAATCTTATTGCTTAAAATGGCCCCCAAGTGTAGTGCTTAAGTGCTGTCTAGTGTAAGACAAGGAAGTCTTACAGAGAAAATTCATGTGTTAGATAAGTTTCATTCAGTTGTGAATTACAATGCTGTTGGTCATGAGTACAGTGTTAATGAGCCAACAATATATATTAAAGTCTTTGAACACAAACACACATGTAAAACAAAATTATGATCATCTGACAAAAACGTTGTGACCACAGGCCCATAGGAACTGAACCCCATGTTTCCCCTGTGAGCGGTATAGTAGTTCAGTATTCACCAATTCATTGTTTGTGTCAACTTTATAGAGCATAACTATTACAAATAAGAATTGATTGTATACAACTCAGCATAATCACTATAGGACACAGACTTGTTCATTGATGTGAAGCTGGTAATGATGAAATATCACTTATTTAGGACAGAAAACAAGCATCATTAAGGGATAAAATTTTCCTTAAAACAGTACTTTTCAAAGTGGGTTAGAATGAAGAAGGAAGACAAATGGCTCTGCCCTTACCTGTTACATACTTAGGGGGTTTCATATAAGATTTTGTATCAAAACGGGATGCCACTACTTTAAGAAAAGATTATTTTGAACAGCAGTGCCTTATGTAAGTATTAAACCAAATCATAATAAGGCAGGGAAAAAGAAATCATTTCCTACACACTTTTAATGACTCCAGCAAAAGGTTAGCTTCTCAAAAATGATATTTTTATATATGTTTATTTTTTATTTATATATACACACGCACACACCCCATATGACTTAAGAGAAATATTAGTTTGCCTATTGAATATTTGCAAAAAAAAATCCAGCATTTATATTCATGAATGAAAAAGATCCTATTTTGTGTTAATTTTTTAAGGAAAAAAAACACAACCCCCTAGATTAAAGAGGTGATTAAAAATTTCCAAAATTCCATATATAAAAATCGACTCTAAATGGATCAAAGACCTAAATGTAAAATCTCAAACTATAATAACCTTAGAAAATGCAGGAGACACCCATATGGAAATTGAAACTGGCAACAAATTCCTGATCAGAACCCCAAGTGCTCATACCATAAGAGATAAGATAGACAAGTGGGACCTCATCAAACTGAAAAGCTTCTGGAAAGCCAAAGAAACCATCAAGAGAACAGGGAGACAGCCCACAGAATGGGAAAAAATATTTACCAACTGTATATCTGACAAAGGCCTAACATCCAGGATCTACAAGGAACTCAAACATAACAAAAGGAAAAAAAACAACTCCATTAAAAGGTGGACAAAAGACTTGAATTGACACTTCTTAAAAGAAGATATAAGGGAAACCAACACACAAGAAAAAGTGCTCAGCCTCACTAATCATCAGAGAAATGCAAATCAAAGCCGCATTGAGATAATACCCATCCCCAGTAAAAATGACCATCATTAATAAAACAACAACAGATGCTGGCAAGGATGTGGAGAGAAAGGAACATTTCTACACTGCTGGTGGGAATGCAAACTAGTGCAACCTCTTTGGAAAACAGTGTGGCGATTTCTTTTTTTAAATTTTTTTTACTATAAAGGTGGGGGACAATTCAGGGTTTGGTATACAAATGTTACGTATGTGGATAACCTTGTTGATGAGGTATGCCCCTTCCTCCCCTAGCAGTTTCCCTCAACTGCCAATCCCACCCCCTTCCTCTGACAGTTTCTCATTACTCCCAATCCCTTTCTTATAGTATTATAATTGTTCAAGGTCTGCTTATGAGTGAGTACTCTGTTCTTTGTTTCTGTGATAAATCACTGAGTATGATTGACTCCAAATCTATCCACGTTGCTGTGAAGTCCATATGTTTGTCTTTCTTTATGGCTGTATAATATTCCATTGTGTATATGTGGCGATCGCAGTGTGGTGATTTCTAAAAGAAGTAGACACTGACCTTTCATATGATCCTGCAGTCCCCCTACTGGGAATATACCCGGAGGAACTCAAATCATTCTACAAAAAAGATACCTGCACATGCATGTGTATTAGAGCACTATTCACAGTAGCAAAAGCATGGAACCAACTGGGCTGCCCATCGAAACTGGACTGGATAAAAATATATGGTACATAACACAACGTATTGTTACGCAGCCATAAAGAAGGACAAACATGGACTTTGCAGCAACTTGGATGGATTTAGAATCTATCATACTCGGTGATCTATTACAGAAACAACAGAGTACCATATGTTGTCACTCATAAGCAGACCCTGAACATTTGCCATAATAGTATAAGAAAGGAATTGGCAGTGGTGGGATACTGCTGGGGGGGGGGTGCAGGGGGAGGGGTTGGGACACGACACAACATCAATAAGTGTACCTGATCTCAAAGCAGGCAAAGTGAACATCAAAAGGAGGTCCAAATTTACCTGTACGATGGCCACTTGTGTACCTAATCCTGAATTGTACACCACATCTTTAAAATAAATAAAAAAATAAATTTCCCACAATAATGTAATTTTCGCACCTCTGCTCTGGACAGTGGACATATATTACACATTAAAGGTCAAAAGGTCTACTTTTTTTTTTGAGTTGGAGTCTCACTCTGTTGTCCAGACTGGTGCTCCCGGCCACTGCACCCTCGACCTGCTGGGCTCCAGCGATCCTTCCGCCTCAGCCTTCCAAGTAGCTGGAATTACAGGTGTGCGCTACCACACCTGGCTAATTTTTTTATTTATTATAGAGATGAGGTCTCACCAAGTTGCCCAGGCGGGTCTTGAACCCGCGGGCTCAGGCAGTCCACTCACCTCAGCCTTCCAAGGTGCGGGATTATAGCCTAAGCCACCGAGCCCAGCTAAAAGGTCTACTTTTATGTGGCACGTTTCCGTTGTAGATTTTAGGAGATTTTCATAAAAATCTTAAAACTAGATTGAGTGCACATTAGCTCTTGCTGCTTTGGGCACAAAGTTCTTCATATGTTGCTAAATTGCTGTTAAATATATACATATCCTCACATTCACAAACAAGAAAGCAAGCATGTCCTTTACAACCACATGGGTGGAGCTAGAGAGCATCCTAAGGGAACTGATGAGGAAACAAAAGACTGAACTCTGGGTGTTCTCACTTATATGCGGGAGCTGAATGGCAGCGCAGATGGAAGTCGTGGATGCTAGTAAGGGAAGAGATGGCGAAGCTAGGGTTCAGAAGTTTCCTGTTGGGTCCAGTGTGCACTCTCTGGGGAACGGGCCACCTAAGACTCAACCCCCACCACTACACGATATGTTGATGCCACAAACATGCAAGTGTACCCCCTGAATCTAAAACAAAAATGGAGAAAAACGGGCATACTGATAACCTATAGTGACTAGAAATAGCATATGCCCATTTGGAATGCTGGTCATAAAAGTAAGAAGGCTTTTAGCATGATAATCCCTAAGAAACTTTCAAGTTCCTTGTTTAAAAAAAAAAAAAAGACTTAAAGCTGTTGATCAAACTAGACTTCAATAGATTGTCCTCTTTTTTCCTTTGAGTTACTCTTTATTTCAGAGCAATCATAAAGGAATGTTATTGTACTATTGACACCATGCTTTTTCTTTGTCCAAGAATGTCTCTATTCCAAGAATGTCTCATTTAATAAACGTCTTATGAAAGAAAAATTGATTTGTAACACTTTTTAAAGCAGATGTAACTTAAGTGGTGCTGTGAGTATATGCCCTAGAGAAGAAAGAAAGCCTGTCTCTGAACATTTAGATTTGGTTAGAGACTTTTCATTTTCTGTCTCATAGAGCCAAATTTACTGAGTGGCACTGCCCATAGTGTGAACAAAAGAGGTGTGAAAAGGCGAGACCTGGACATGGAAGAGCTTAGAGAGATCCTTTCTTCTCTCTTACCTTTTGTGCGAATTGAACACATCTTACCTATGAACAGTGAAGTCTTAAGTGATGCAGTAAGTGTTTCCTTTATCCCTTTTATGAAAAGAAAAATGCCAGTCTTCTCTTTTTTTATAATTGTAAATAATTCCTACTACCAATAGAATATTGAGAAGCAGTAAATTCCTTGAGCTGAGAAACAGGCATCTGCTGTGTACAATGTTGTGTCCCCCGTGCCTGTCACAAGGTACAATCCAGTGTTTGGAGAGTTGAGTGGGTAACTTTTGCACGAGCATTGTTTTTAGGGATGTCAATTCAGTCATTACCAGTGTAGAGCCAGTCGATTCTTACTCAAAAAAGAAAAGGCAGAAGTTACGTTGAGAGAGTCTCGAGAATGGTGGTGACTCAGAGCAGGGGATGGGGAATGGGTTCAATGTGCACAAGGGTGGCTAGATGTTCTGATTCTATTTGAGACCCAGTTGAAAATCAATAGACTTGCTCATGTTATTTTTACAATTTTTTTTAAAGCAGCGGATGTTTAAAAAATTTAATAGAATTGCTTGAATGGATGGGCAAATCAATATTATAAATATTAGTTCTTCCCACATTGGTTTATAAATTTAATATAATGCGTGTAAACATCATAATAGTTTTTTGTTTTTTTTTTTTGAGTTGGCGTCTCACTCCGTTGCCCAGGAGTGCAGTGGCACGTTCACAGCGACCCCAGCATCGACTTGCTGGGCTCCAGCGATCCTACCACCTCAGCCTTCCAAGTAGCCAGAACTACAGGCGCGTGCTACCACACGTGTCTAATTTTTTTATTTATTGTAGAGACAAGGTCTTGCCAAGTTGCAGGGGCTGGTCCTGAACCTGTGGGCTTAGGCAATTCACTTGTCTCGGCCTCCCAAAGTGCGGGGATTACAGGCTGAGCTACCAAGTCCAACCCATAATAGTTTTTGTAACTGTATGAGAACATTACAAAAGTCCACTAGAAAAACAAGCTGATATGAATATTTATTTATTTATTTGTTTGTTTAGAGATGGGATCTCACTCTGTTGGCCAAGCTCCTGGAGTGCAGTGGTATGATGGTAGCTCACTGCAGTCTCAAACTCCTGGTCTCAGTCAGTCTTCCCACCTTTGCCTCCCAGAGTGCTCACATTTCAGGCATGAGCCACTTCTCTAGCCTTAAGTTTTTTTTTTTGCTGTTTTTTAAAAAGGACATGATGAAGAAGGGTAACTTTTAGGATGTAAAACATATTTTTATTTTTATTTTTTTTTGAGTTGGAGTCTCACTCTGTTGCCCAGACTGGAGTGCAGTGGCCGCTCCCGGCCACCGCAGCCTCGACCTGCTGGGCTCCGGCGATCCTTCCGCCTCCGCCTTCCAAGTAGCCGGAATTACAGGCACGCGCTACCACACCTGGCTGATTTTTTTTGATTTATTGTAGAGAGGAGGTCTCACTGCCCAGGTGGGTCTCGAACCCACGGGCTCAGGCAATCCATTCACCTCAGCCTCCCAAAGGCGCGGGATTATAGGCTGAGCCACCAAGCCCGGCTAAAACATATTTTTAAATGCTAATATTCTATCTGTGAAGCTGGCATAATGGGTAAGATAAAATAGTTCAGAAAAATGTCCTAGTTAATGTAAGAAACATAATACACTAGCTATCATAAATCAATGTGGTGCTGGACTGATTATGATTAGCAGGAGAGGAAGAAATTCATTTGAAGTTGAACTGTCATTTCGCTTACACCCAAAATCAATTCTGTTAGATTGAAGAATTAAATACAGTAAGTCCCCTACATACAAATGAGTTCCGTACCAAGAGTGTATTCTTAAGTTCAACAGAGTTAACCTGTGTTCCCAACTAACACAATCGGCTACAAGGTATTGTTCTGTGATAGGTTTATAATACGTTTTCCACAGTACATTAAAAAAAAAACCTCAAAAAATAGCACAGCTTTAATCTTACAGTAAGTAAGAAAAGTACACCAGACGTGTGAACTAACTTATGTAACTGGGCGTGCGAAAGCATGTTTGCATCTTTGAAATTTTGCAACTGAAGGTTTATATGGAGAGGACTTACTGTACTAAATTGAAACCTGTGGTTGGGGGCGGTGGCTCATGTCTATATTCTCAGTGCTTTGGAAAGCTGAGATGGGAGGATCATTTGAGCCCAGGAGTTCGAGGCTTCAGTGAACTATGATTGTGCCACTGTACTTCATCCTGGGTAACAAAGTTAGACCCTATCTCAAAGAAAGCGGGGGGCGGGGAGAGGGAGAGAGAGAAACATGGACGAACTGGAAGAAAACATACTTATGGAATCTCTGTTTAGAAAAACTGTTCCGCCTCACATAATAAAGAATACAAAATAAAACAGTAAGTTATTAAATGAGCAGTAAATTATAGTACCCAACAGATTATGTTGCTACCCTGAACAATAGTTATGAATACTAATATATAGCAACATAGGAAATGCTAATGATGGAATATAACTAAGAATAAGGAGCATACAAAGTGTATATTTTAGAATTCAACTATGTAAAAATTCATTTGAAAAAGACTGGAAGGAAATCTGTCAGCATTATAGTTGTAATGAATTCGAATATTTAGCTTTTCCTTTTCTCTGTTTTCTGAATACTAGATAATGCTGTGTTTTACTAGTTAAAAATAACTTTAATGCAGCTATTTTTCATATAAATATATAAGAGTAATATTGGAGAAACAACTTTTGGTTTTGTTTAAAACCTGAGACTCAAGTCAAGTGAAACCCTGTATTTAGTTTGGAACAGTATTTTGGAACTTTGGTTAGAAAGCATACAGTCTTTGCCCTTAACGCCGTGCCTGAAACATAGAAAGTGCCCAGAAAAGGCCTGCTAATTATGGCTGTGAGAGTTTGCGCTCTTTGTGTGTGCCGTGCCAGGTGCCTTCATCTGCACTGCCTTCGTTTAATCCTCACAGCCACGTCAGGAACCACAGATACTTGATTCAGATTTTCTTGGCGTCAGCAGGGCCTCCAGCTCAGATAGTTGTGCGGTGCCCCTCCTCCAGGGCCATGCAGGAGCCCTTAACGTGAGGCCCAGCTAAAAGATGTCCATGGTCAGATGGCTGTTATGTAAATGGGGGAGTTGGGGTTGGAGCCAAGTCTGCTTTCCCCAAGTCCGTGCTGCTAAGCTCCTTGTGAGCCCAGAGTCCAGGCTGCTGAGCACCTCCTGTATCCTAGCTCGTAGACCAAGTCGCTGTATTTGTTTTGTCTTGGTAGGAGGAAAGCAGAGATGGAATCAGTTCCCAGATATGGAAGGAAAAGCAGAAGTCAGTTTTCACTGAGAGTTCTTAAATTTAGTCCAACTTTACTTCATTTTAATGTCTCCTGTTTTTAAAAATATCCTTCCTCTGTTTAGATAAAAATGGAAAATTATGGTATGTTTGTGTTGACTTTTAAAAATATTATTACATATCTGAAGTATTTCTAAATTTCATATGTCTGAGTTTTCATTTAAATGGTAAAGTTTGCATATTTTAATAGGTACAGATATTTTTATCTTAGTGGTATTATAGTGCTACATAGATCTCTAGTTTATCTAAACAAAAAAATTTTTTTTAAGATGAAAAGAGGCTTGATTAGTACTCCTCCATCAGATATGCTTCCGACAACAGAAAGTGGAAAGTCAAATGCCTGGTTACGACAAAAAAATGCTGGTATTTATGTTCGTCCTCGACTGTTCTCTCCCTATGTGGAAGAAGCAAAGGTAATACAAACCATCTTAGATAGTAGATTACTTAATTACAAATCATATGCACAAAGAGGTTTGTTGTACTATTACTCAACTATTTGGAAATATCCTATATTTCCCACCATAGGGAAAATGAAAGTGAATTCTAGTCTGACTACTCCACAGAATAGTTTTCTGAAGCGTTTACTTAATCAAGCATGTTTTTAAACTTAGGTCTTATTAAAATGCATTTTCTGTTTTTCTCATCTTACTTGCCTTGCAAAGTGTTACAATTTTACTGAAATGGTTGTCAGTACCTTGCTATCTTGAGGGTAGAGGAAATGTTCTGAAAGAGGGTTGCACACATTTGTCTTCCTTGGTAAATTGAAGGAATGCCATGACCTCTTGTAACATACTTCTGTAACAGCTGACTATACAAACTAAGAAAAAACTTTAGACCAATTAAGTAAATAATTGGCATTATGGGCACTGTAACATAAAGGACTTGTCAAGAAAATATGGTAATGTGAAAATGAAACACTGTAATTTTTGTTAGATATATTCAACCATAAGAACTTTGGAGTGGCCTTTGGGGGGAACTGTCAGTCTTTGAAAGTAAGAAATCACTATTGGGCTTTCTGAAATAAATTCAAGAGGTAAAATAGTGTGTTTGGGTGTAAAATTAAGTTGCCTTAAAATTTTTTCTCATTTTTCATTGCTAGAATTCCTAGTTTAAGGTATATGAAAGGATTTGTGAGGAGTCTGTTTTATTGCCTAGGTTGATAATGTACTTCTTGTTGAATGGATGGCATTTTTTAATAATTCTAAAACAAAGGAAGGGAGCAAAATGCTTGAATCTGGTTTTTCTGAAATAAGTGCAATCCTTAACATTGCTTAAGCAGCTGAGGTCTTCACAAAGGTCAAGTCTGATGACAAACACTCTGTGATATAGTAGACCTAACCGTGATTTCCTCTCTCTCAAGAATGGGCAGCCAAGCTAGTCAGACAGTCCTGCGGAATGTCCCTGTTCCTCAGATGGCTGTGGCTACCCTGAGGAGACAGTCACCTCCATTAAATGTGGAGAATGTCTACACTTTATCTCATTTTGGTCATTCTGTGGTTTGGTGAGATGGATTCATCTAAGTCTAATTTATCGAAATTGGATTTATTTGTAGGTCTGTTAAATTAATATCAATCTTTAATATTTTGTATTTTGAACATTTTTGTTGCAACTAATATTTAACACATGTATACATTGTTTTCTTTATAATAATTTTGTGTACAATTGATTTCTGATTAATTTTATATCCTGTCTTCACATTTCAAATACTTAAAATTAAAAATAAGCTTTTCAGCTGGGCTCGGTGGCTCAGCCTGTCATCCTGCGCCTTTGGGAGGCTGAGGTGAGTGGATTGCCTGAGCCCGCGGGTTCGAGACCCACCTGGGCAGCGAGACCTCATCTCTACAATAAATCAAAAAATCAGCCGGGCATGGTAGCGCGCGCCTGTAGTTTCGGCTACTCGGAAGGCTGAGGCGGAAGGATCGCCGGAGCCCAGCAGGTCGAGGCTGCGGTGGCCGGGAGCGGCCACTGCACTCCAGTCTGGGTGACAGAGTGAGACTCCAACTCCAAAAAAAAAAAAAAAAAAAGCTTTTCAAAGATGATTGCATATTTTCAGAGATGCTCCAAAAATAGTCTTTAAAAATTAGAGGTAGAGGTACTTTCTTCTTTCACCATTAATTTTAAGATTTATAAGCTAGAAATAATAAATTAATTCCCTTTTTATTTGATGGAAGTAATAATCTTCCTCCAAATGTGATTTAACACAGATGAACATTGACTGATTCTGTTAATACTAAATTCTTATTTCAGTCAGTGCTAGACGAGATGATGGTGGAACAAACAGATCTTGTGCGTTTGCGAATGGTTAGAATGTCCAATGTGCCAGACACGCTCTACATGGTCAGTAATGCCGTGCCACAGTGTTGTCACATGATCAGCCACCAGCAGATCAGCAGTAACCAGTCAAGCCCTCCTTCAGTTGTAGCCAATGAAATTCCAGGTAAGGCAGTATACCAGGCATTTGTATTTAACTGAATGATCTTGTTATTGTTGCATTTGCTGATACTTGAACCCTCTTATATATGCTAATTACCTCCACCTTTCAGTACTCCTTATGTCTTGTTCTCCTTAAATAATAAATACTTAAAAGCTAAAATTTTTGCTTTGCATGTTATTTGATATTAGTGAGTATACACAGTTTTTCAGGTTAGCCTAGGGTTTCTCAACCCTGGCCCTGTTGACATTTAGGACTAGATGATTCTGTTTAATGGGGAGTTGTACTGTGCATTGTTTAACTGCATCCCTGCCTATACTCAGTAGATGCTAGTAGCACATGTGCACACACACCTTTGTGATAACATTTGGAAACATTTTTATGCTTCTAGACATTGCTAAATACACCCTTTGGGACAAAATCACCCCTGTTGAGACCACTGGTTTAAAAGAATTAAGGCTTTTTCACACCGTAGGGTATTTCTCATGTCATAAGACCCTTTGGGAGGGTAATAGGAACTTACACCACTAAGTTTTCCTATGTCCCCGAAAAATGTGATCCTTGTGGTTTTCCTAGAGATCCAGTTTTCCAAGATCTGCTCTGTGAAGGTTACTGTAGCACAGCTCTATGTCATATGATTTGGGGGGTATTGGCCATAGATCAAGGTATAACTATTATGTCCAAAAACGTTTGAGCATCAGTTAATGTTGACTTTAACCAAAGGGCTCTAGTGTCAGTTTTTTTTGTCTTGAGTCAAGATCTCACTCTGTTGCCCACCAGTCTAGAGTGCAGTGCCATGGTCACGGCTCACTGCAGCCTCTACTTTCTGGTCCTAGGTGATCCTTTTGCCTCAGCCTCCCATGTAACTGGGACTATAGGTGTGTGCTGCCATGCCTGATTAATTTTTTTATTTTTGTAGAGAGTAGGTCTTGCTATGTTTCCTAGACTGGTCTTGCAACTCCTGGGCTCAAGCAGTCCTTCTGCCTCGGCCTCCCAAATTGCTGGGATTATAAGTGTGATTAAAAACAACAGCAGTGACCAGGTACTTAGAAATGTATAGCTTTTGCCAACTACCATTACAAGATTCAAAATAAAGCCAGGACCAGGTATGGTGCCTTGTACCTCTAATCCTAGCACTTAAAGCCAGGAGTTCGAGACCAGTCTGGGCAACATAGAGAGATCCTGACTCTACAAAAACATTTTTTTAAAATTAGCTAGACATGGTAGTGTTTACCTGTAGTCATAACTACCTGGGAGACTGAGGTGGAAGGGTTGCCTGAGCCAAGAAGTTAGAGGCTGTAGTGAGTTGCGATTGCATCATTATACTCCAGCCTGGGTGGCAGCGCGAGACAATGGAAATAGCACTCCAAATGTCTATTTCAATTAAAGATTAATAAAAGGCATAGCTACAGAACTTTGAATGCGTAGTTTATTCTGGGACTAATGCCTTTCTTCAGTTGTTGCCTTATCAGATTTGGCCACTACCTGTTTATTTAAAATATACTTTAGATGACAGTGTGAAAAAAATATTTATTTAGCAAATCTGTACAGATTTTGAAGCTTTGGTAATTAGCACTGCTTTTCAGACTTGAAAATTAATACTGTTGGATATCAGGCTACTTTACTTTTACAACTTAATTTTAAAAGCCAAGATAGTCTCAAGCGAGTGTGCTCAGGAAAATAAGGCTTCTCTCTGCTGTTTGTCTCTGGGAGCCTGACTCCGAGCTGGGGTCGTCCTTCGCTCTCACTTCCTTGCTGACCGCACACTCATAAAAGGCTGTGTGGCTTGTTGCCGAAGACTTGTGGGCTCATGTCCTGGCTCTTTTACTTTTTTGTATGACTTTGGACAAACTATGATTGCCTTTTCTCAGCATTAATTTCCTCATCTGTAAAATGGGGATAACATCCTCTTTCTGGAATTGTTGTGAGGACCTAATGAAGCACCGTGAGTAATATGCTTAGGAGTTTGGCACAAAGCAAGCACTCAATAAACAGCCCCCTTTGCCCTCCCCCCACAAAAAATAGTAATCACTCACCATTCTAGTCGATTTATTTTATAAATGTGTATGTTTTGAGTCGGAGTCTCACTCTGCCACCCAGGCTGGAATGCAGTGGCACACTCAAGGCTGCTCCAGCTTTGATCTGCTCAGCTCAGGCAATCTCTCCGCCTCACCTTTCTAAGTAGCTGGAACTGTAGGCGCACATCACCATGCCTGGCTAATTTTTTATTTATTGTAGAGATGAGTTCTCACCAAGTTGTCCAGGCTGCTCTTGTACCCCTGGGCTCATGCAATTCTCTTGCCAACGTCTTCCAAAGTGCTGGGAGTATAGACATGAGCCAGCATGCCCAGCCTTTTCATTTCTTTTTTTTTTTGAGTCAGGGCCTCGCTATGTTGAACAGGCTGGTCTTGAACTCCTGGGCTCTTGTAATCCTCCTGCCTCAGCCTCCCAAAGTGCTGGGATTCCAGGTGTAAGCCCCTGCATCTGGCCAATTTATCCTATAAATGTCCATAGTCTTCATTCCTCTTCTCCAGCCCTACAGCTACAGACGTAGCTCAGGTCGCTAACTGGTATTCTGGCCGCTCATCTTACTCACCACATTCTGCGCTTTGCACCAGGGATCGGGGGCCAGAGAGTGAATACTTCAGCCTTTGTGAATACTCTAGCCATAGCATCTGTGTCCTATCCCCTCAACAGCCACGGATCATACCTAAATGAATGTGTATGGCCGCATACCAGCAAAATTTTATTTCAAAAACAGCGGACGTGATTTCCCCTGCTGTTCACCAGCATCAGCCTATACTTCATCACCGCGCTAATTCTTCCATCGCCCTGCACTAGTGACTGCCGGGTATGCACAGGATACAGTTTTAGTTCCGTGTCTAGCACATGTTCCCGCCTGCCTGCCCAGCCTCCTCTCTTAACATTCTTCCTGCTTGTAGCTCTGAACCCTGAGTTCCCCTGGCCATGCCAGCCACTTGTTCCAGGCTGTCTCTCATTGCATGTTTATTTATTTATTTATTTTTTTTGAGTTGGAGTCTCACTCAGTCGCCCAGACTAGAGTGCAGTGGCCACTCCCGGCCACCACAGCCTAGCCTGCTGGGCTCCGGCAATCCTTCCGCCTCAGCCTTCCAAGTAGCCGAACTACAGGCACGTGCTACCACGCCCGGCTGAGTTTTTGATTTATTGTAGAGATGAGGTCTCGCTGCCCAGGCAGGTCTCGAACCCGCAGGCTCAGGCAATCCACTCACCTCAGCCTCCCAAAGGTGCGGGATTACAGGCTGAGCCACCAAGCCCAGCTTCTCATTGCATGTTTTATACATGCCTGGTCCTTCTGCTCAGAAGTCTTTCTTTGTGTGTCTGGTTTTCTCTCATTCTTCAAGACTCTACTTGGGGTTTGCCTTGTGTAGGCCTTTCTTGCCTCCAGTCTGGCTGACACCACCTAGTCTGCCCCTACCTCCCGGTCCTTCAGCATCCTTTGTATATTTCTCTCCAGAGCACTTGTGACCTTGTACTGTAGTAACTTACTTAATTCATGTCACTGAGCCACAGCATTTTGATGCAGGGATCATACCTTTCATTCTGTGTACCCTGATTTCTAAGTTCTGTCCCTGGTGCATAGTCAAGACTCAAAGATTATTTGGACAAAAGAATGAATATATTTAAAAGCCTTATAAAATATCTTGAGATTCAGGAGAGAATATGTAGGAGTAAAATTTTATTTAAGTTGTGAACTAAAGTAATACAACCCAGGAGCTGTTTGGTATGATCAAAAGCCTCTGGGCATAGTGAACTTTTATAATCTTGAAAAATAATTAGAGGTATATAAATTAATATGTTGTCAGGAAATTAAAATGCTATCAAAAAATTACAAGGTTTTAATGAGAAACACATGCTTTCTTTCTTTTGCTCACTGGGCAGTCTGGTGTATCTCGGGAATTTTGCCTGCATGGTGTTTTTCTCCTTCTAGTTCCTCGTCTCCTCATCATGAAAGACATGGTCAGACGACTGCAGGAACTACGGCACACTGAGCAGGTGCAGAGGGCCTATGCGCTGAACTGCGGGGAAGGCGCCACCGTCAGCTATGAAATTCAGATTCGAGTACTGAGAGAGTTTGGTCTTGCAGATGCGGCAGCAGAGCTCTTGCAGGTAGGAAATGGCTTTAGCCTATTTAAAATAGCCTCATTTGTCAGTCAGGCCGTGTTGGAGACATCCTGAGGAGCCCTCAGCTTGCTGTGTTTTCTTCATACGCTCTCGTCCAGTAACTCTGGTATCTTTGATGACCTGCCTTCCAGTGAGAGGTAGTGTTATGGAGTGGGCTGAGCACGGGGCTAGAGTGAGAACTCACCTGATATTCTGGTTAACTTGGAATGTGTTCCTTAACCACCCTGAGCATCTGTTCTCTTACCTGTAAAATGGATTGTTACAAAGACCCAAGGTACTTTCTATAAAGCAACTAAGTATCTGGTACATAGCAGGCATACAAGTGGTGACCACTAAAAAGTTACATAGTGTATTGCAAACAGAGACAGCAGAGTATATATTAGAAAATTCTGAACCTCCACTGATTTGGTTGCTAGGTTTCAGGTTTGACCCACTGTCATATTTACAGACCTTCCGGACATCCCCCTTTTCTCTCTTCTTCTCCCTCTTGTAAGAAATTTTTTGTATGAAAGCTTAAACTCAAGCACGAGAATCAAGGACTTTAGTGGGTTTGTTTTTGTTTTTTTTGATTTTTTCTTGAGTTGGAGTCTCGCTGTCGCCCAGACTGGGGTGCAGTGGCAGCTCCCGGCCACCACAGCCTCGACCTGCTGGGCTCCGGCGATCCTTCCACCTCAGCCTTCCAAGTAGCTGGAACTACAGCGCACGCTACCATGCCTGGCTAAATTTTTTTTGATTTATTGTAGAGATGAGGTCTCGCCTGCCCAGGCGGGTCTCGAACCCACGGGCTCAGGCAATCCACTCACCTCAGCCTCCCAAAAGCGCAGGATTACAGGCTGAGCCACCGAGCCTGGCTTGTTTTTGTTTTTAAGCAGATAGAAACTAACTTCTAGTAATTATTAGGTACAAAATCAATAACATTGATTTTGCAGTTAAGATAGAATTTGTAGGTCAAATTCTAAATCAGAGTCTTAACCCTTTGCACTTAGATGACCCCACTGAGGGAACATTGCAAATCTAGTAAAACCACTTGGGTATCCTCTCTCAGGGGATATAAAGAGATTGCTGGTGATTCTGCAGGGCAAACTTAAGCAAGTGCAAATTTTTCCAAAACTGTATGTTTTCTTGAAGTTTTTCATTCAAATTGCATGAGAGGCCGGGCTCGGTGGCTCAGCCTGTAATCCCAGCACTTTGGGAGGCCGAGGTGAGTGGATGGCCTGAGCCCGCAGGTTCAAGACCCGCCTGGGCAACTTGACGAGACCTCATCTCTACAATAAATCAAAAACTAGCCGGGCGTGGTAGCATGCGCCTGTAGTTCCAGCTACTTGGAAGGCTGAGGCTGAAGGATCGCTGGAGCCCAGCGGATCGAGGCTGCGGTGGCTGGGAGCGGCCACTGCACTCCAGTCTGGGCGACAGAGTGAGACTCCAACTCAAAAAAAACAACAACAAAAAAAGCAAAAACAACAACAACAAAAACAAATTGCATGAGAAAACAAAGTGATGGAATATATACTGAGATGTGCGTTAAAAACAATCAGCTGACATTATGTAGCAAGAGGATGTGTGAAGTGCTTTCACAGTGGTGTCAGCACTTTTTTGTAACAGAAGGTAGCAATAAAGGGCATTTGTATAAGAAAGGCAGTTGTGAGTATACCCTTTGTGTCTTATGGCATAACTTGCAAAGAGAGATAAGCAAGTTGCTATAGTCTGAAAAGAAAGAGACTTTTGAAGTTGACGGCAGGCAGATCATATTGAAGTTTTGAGCGACACAGATAGAATATATCTATCTGCATTAAGTCAGAAAAGTAAAATTGGTAGCATAATATTCTTTTGATAACTTCATTTTATGATTTTATAATTTTATAATTTATAATTAGAAACTGTTTAATCTATTTCTTTAGATTGCAGAACTGGCAAAAGGACGAAAGTGAGAAGAGCTGTAGTAAAAACAGCAGTGAAGATGAGTCAGATTCAGACTTTTACATGGATAAGTTAGTAAAAATAAACCTTGATGTGGAAGAAAATGATAGTAGCCATAGTGATGTCATCCCACCAAGAAGAAAGTGGGCAATTGTAATAAAAAGTGATAGTGATGAAAGTGTTCGTAATTTTGAAGTAGAAGATAATGTATTGTCAAGTGAAGAATGGGAAGATGTTACAGAAAAGGACAATTCTTTAGCGAGAATAAATTTTGTCATGTGTCCTGTTAGTTAACAGGACCACAAGTAGCACATGATGTAAGAGAACCAGTTGATTGTTTCACTCTGTACTTTAGAAATGTATCCGTGGCTAGTGTAATAAAAGAAACTGGGCAGCGAGACCTCATCTCTACAATAAATCAAAAATCAGCCGGGCGTGGTAGCGTGCGCCTGTAGTTCAAGCTACCTGGAAGACTGAGGCAGAAGGATCGCCGGAGCCCAGCAGGTCGAGGCTGCGGTGGCCGGGAGCGGCCACTGCACTCCAGTCTGGGCGACAGAGTGAGACTCCAACTCAAAAAAAAAAAAAAAAAGAAACATTGTTATGCGAATGAAAAAATAAGGAAACAGCAGCTGTTACACAAATTGATAAGGCATAAGTGGCATGACATTGACGGAAAAAAGTGCTTAGGCTTTATCACAGTTATCTTAATGTGGGAGGAAGAAACTGAGACTGCATTGTCTGCCTGGATAGAAGGACACCAGGTGGAAGACGTCACATTACTGTGCACTACATGTATCAGTGAAGCTGCAATCGTGTTGGTGACTGTTTCACACGTTACCATGTATTAGAAAAATATAAGACATAAAATTTTGATATTTTTGTTATAGATAAGTTTCTCAATGTCCAAAATCTCATTATAAGACAAATGTCATTACCATAAAATAATTGGTTCCAACACTATACTATTTAATATAAAGCAATTTGTTCTTCAGTGTTTTGTAAAAAAGTGCAGTTCAGTTGCCAGTAGGTGACCCGCAAGATGTCTCTGAGTGCAAAGGGTTAAATAAAATTTAATTTCATCTGGTCAAGTGATTCAAACATGTTCTTGCCACTGACTCCAAACTCCTTTAGCCTTCACTGTTGAAAAGAGTAGACAGGACCATTGCTAGGCCATTGCTGCAGCCATTGTCTTACTAGATTCTGGTGTGGCCCTGTGTTCTTTAGCTATGGCTGTCGTCATGTTTCCTGGTGTTGGCCGCCTCCCTTACCTTGGGAAAGTGAATCTTCTCTTTCTCTCTCTCTCTCTCTCTAATTTACTTTTTAAATAAACTGTATCTTCTTCTTTTTTTTGTTGTTGTTGAGTTGGAGTCTCACTCTGTCACCCAGACTGGAGTGCAGTGGCTGCTCCCGGCCACCGCAGCCTCGACCTGCTGGGCTCCGCGATCCTTCCGCCTCATCCTTCCAAATAGCTGAAATTACAGGCACACGCTACCATGTCCGGCTGATTTTTTTTTTTTAATTTATTGTAGAGTTGAGGTCTCACCAAGTTGCCCAGGCGGGTCTCGAGCCCGCGGGCTCAGCCAATCCACTCACCTCAGCCTCCCAAAGCGCGGGATTGCAAGCTGAGCCCCCGAGCCCGGCAACTGCATCTTCTAATCTAAAAAAGCCTGGTGTTCTTCAGCAAGGCAGCAGGTCATTTTTGGGTTCTTGATCTTCATTTTCCCTCCTGAAAACATATAATCTGATTTTCTACTCATTTCTATTCCCTTTGCCATTCTAAACCGTGTCTTAATTTGATATCTTAAATTGTATAAAAGTAAGTCTTTTCGAATGTTTACCAAAATATCAATCAAACTTAGTCATGTTTAATGAGTAAGGAAGAGTATTTTGCGGTTTTTATTTTAGACAGAGCATGAACAGATGCTTTGTCAGAAAGTTTCTAGAAGATCCTCCATTGTGCGCCTCTGCTTTCTTTGGTGTTTAATGTCAGTCTTCTCTTCCAAGCAAAGAAATTTTGAATTAGGATTTATGACCTATTTTTGCATCATCACATAATCTTGCAAGAGACAACTGACCTGCTTGCTGGACTATTCAGTTGAGCAGCTCTCCTTAATAGCTATTTCTTAGGTTAGGCTATGTAGGCTGCACTCTGTCCCTTTGTGTTATTATTATTAAAAAGGTAATTTCTCCTTGGGCTTCTGGCCTAGAAAACTACATTGTGCCTTTCACTCTTGCTGAATGTAGTTTTCATAGTTGCCTATAAATTCCCATCTATGAAATCTGTGAATAACGTCATGTTGCTTTTTTTTTAATCTTCCTTAGAATCCTCACAAGTTCTTTCCTGATGAACGCTTTGGGGATGAAAGTCCACTTTTGACAATGAGACAGCCTGGAAGATGTCGCATTAATAGTACCCCTCCTGCAGAAACCATGTTTACAGATCTGGACTCTTTTGTGGCCTTCCATCCACCCTTGCCCCCTCCACCGCCTCCGTACCAACCCCCCGCTACCCCGGTCCACAACCAGTTCAAAGCCGGCTGGAAACAGAGACCCAGTCAGCATCCCTCACGCTCGTTTTCTTACCCCTGTAATCATTCGCTGTTCCACTCTAGAGCAGCTCCTAAAGCTGGTCCTCCCCCAGTCTACTTGCCGGGTGTTAAGGCTGCACCCCCCGACTGCACCAACATGGCAGGACTGGGGAGACCGACGGTGGCTGCTGCAGCCGCCACTGCCGCCGCTGCTGCCACCACCACCATGTCAGCAGCAGTGGCATCCGAGAAGCAGGTGGTAAGTCGACACTTACGAGCTTGCCTGAAGTTAAAAGCTTATGGAATATTGGAAGCAGATTTTTGGCCCTGAGAGCCTCTGGGACTCAGCAGTGCCCAGAAGTGTTGCTGACAAGCTGCAGATGTAAACTTGAGGGTATGGAAAAGAGAAAGAAAAAGCTAGTGTAGATTAATGAGAAGGGATGGAGGAGAGAGCCCAGAAGCGTGTATGCTAGCAGTCTGCAAGTATCTTATCTTTATGTTCCTTTGCCAGTATTAGGAAGGAGTGAGCAGTGCAAAGGGGTATACCAGTTTTATAGTGTTCTGTTCAAGCACATATCTAGAATCTGTCTCTAGCTCCTACACTACACTCCTGTTCTGTAGAACCTACTATTCTACCAGCGTATTTGGTGGGATAAGAGGGACAGTTACTTAAAGCTAAGTGTACCATCAAGACTAAAATGGAAAAGACTCCCCAGTCAGAAAATGAGCCCTCTGGCTTGCTTCTGCCTCTGGCAAGCACATCCATCAGAGCACCCATTTGGCTAGGAACCACAGTAGCTAGGCCTAGTAGGTATTGAATTGAGAGATTATTTGCTTGATTTTACACCACGTTAGAGGGTGAATTTCTGTTTTATGTAATACATTTGGAAAAAATACTAGTGATTTTTAAAGTTCTTCTACTCAGTTTCATGCAATCAGTAGCATTCAGTAGAGTAGAGTAGTAGAGTAAAGCAAAAGAGTCATCTGTTAGTTCAGAGAAGCTTCGTTAAAATATAACTTGTTGGAAGTTGTAGACTAGTATGTCTGAAGTGTGACAATTAAGTTCGCAAACTCATCCTAGAAAAAATGCTATATACCTCATTGCTGAATGTCAGTCACTACAGTCTTTTTTGAAGTACTCTCCTTGGGAAGCTATGCACTAACACCAGCAGCACCTAGTCCACCCATCAAAGCAATTTTGAAACTCTTTTTCTGGAATGGCCAACAGAGTTGTTATTGCAAGAATGTTGGAGTTTGAATTAGAGCAGCCCACAAACATTAAGTTTCTTGTTAAAGTTGGCAAGAGTGGAAGTGATGTCAGGCACATGCTAGTCCAAGTTTCTGGGGATAATGCCATGAAGAAAACAACAAATGGATTAAACATTTTTCTGAGAGGAGAGAAAGCATCACTGATGAAGAGAGGTCAGGATGGCCAGCAACTAGCAGAACTGATGAAAACATTGCAAAAATTCATCAAATTGTGTGTCAAAATGGTTGGCTGTAAGAAGCACAGTAGACCAAATAAACATCGATAGAGAAACAGGAAAATCATAACTGAAAATCTTGGTGTGGGAAAGGTGTGTGCAAAAATGGTTCTGAAGGAGCTTTTGTATCATGACAGTGCACCAACTCACAGTACGCTGTCTGTGAGGGAGTTTGTAGCCAGTAAGAAAATAGCTGTATTGGAACACCCTCCCTACTCACCTGATTGGGTCCCCAGTGACTTTTTTCTTTACCTGAAGAGAAAGGAAATATTGAAAGGAAGACATTTTGATGACATTCAGGACATCAAGAATAACACAAGAGCAGCTCTGATGGCCATTCCAGAAAGAGTTCCAAAACTGCTTCAACGGGCAGACTAGGCACTGGCATCAGTGCACAGCTTCCCAGAGGAGGTGCTTCACAGGTGACCATAATGATATTCGGCATGGAGGTATGAGTTTGTGAACTTAATTACCAGACCTCATGCACACTCTGGGTCAAATTATGATCCTTCCTTGCCTTCTTGTACCCTCCTATCTCCTCTTCCTGCTTCTTCCCCACCAAAATCACAAAAGTTGAACAAAGATTGATCGTGTGTGATAACCAGATTTCCATCCTATTGGCCTGGTCTTCAGTTCTACAGTTTAAAAAGTTCTACTACATACTTTAAATAAAATTCCTGTTAAAGGTACTTTATTTGTATGTTCCTTACATACAAAAAAATAATAATAATAATGAAAAATTGAAAACAACTTAAATGTCCAATAGTAAGATAATGGTTAAATAAGTCATGATCCATCAATGCAGAAATGGTGATCTCAGGCCGGCACGGTGGCTCATGCCTGTAATCCCAGTGCTTTGGAAAGCAAAGGCAGGAGAACTGCTTGAGGTCAAGATTTTGAGACCAGCCTGAGCAACATACTGAGACCCCATCTTTACAAAAACGTAAGAAATTGGCCAGCTGTGATGACGTGTACCTGTAGTCCTGATTACTCAGGAGGATTACTTGAGTCCAGGAGTTTGAGGCTACTGTGAGCAGTGATCACACCACTGTACGCCAGCTGGGGCACCACAACACAACCCTGTCTCTATAAAAAAGTAAAAATATAACCATGTATGTACTCGATTTTGCAAAAATGAATGCATATGCAAAGGAAAAAAGGTGAGAGAAAGACCTGAAAGTGTTAACAGGAATAGTTATCTCTATATTAAAAGATAGGGGTAGTTTTCTTTTTTTCTTTATAGTTTTTGTATTTTTATAATTCCAAAAATAAGCATGTGTTACTTTTAGGATTGGAAAACAGAATCAGCAAACTTTCTTACACAGAGGAACTCATGAGCCTTTTATCCTAACCCTCCCATCCTTTCTGCCTCTGTCTACAGCGAACGCAGCCTGTGCTGAACGACCTGATGCCAGATATTGCTGTGGGTGTGTCCACACTGTCACTCAAGGACAGGAGGCTTCCGGAGCTTGCTGTAGACACAGAATTAAGCCAGTCAGCTTCTGAAGTGGCACCAGGGCCTCCCCAGCATCTGTCATGTATTCCACAGAGGCATACACACACTTCTCGAAAAAAACACACACTAGAGCAAAAAACAGAGGCCAGAGAAAATCAGCAGGAATACCCGGATTTCTATGATTTCTCAGATGCTGCTTGCAGACCTCCTCCTGCCCCCAGTAGACGTGCCCCTTCTCCTTTGCAAGGTGGATATTTTGGTCCTGATTTGTACAGCCACAGTAAGGCATCACCAAGTGGCTTAAAGTCAGCCTATTTACCCAGCCAGACCTCTCCTAAAAAACAGGAAGAAGCTAGGAGAGAATATTCACTTTCCCCTGATGGGCATCTACACAGACAAAAGAGTGAGCCAATACACCTGGATGTCGTTGAACCACCTACCCAGCGGCCAGACTTTTCTTTGGCAGCCCCGGAAAGTGCTAGTACTGGTCCAGCCCATGTCAGGGGCCGAACTGCAGCAGAAACTGACTTGACTTTCGGGCTGACTCCTAACAGACCTTCCCATTCTGCATGTAGCTCGGAAGCTTCTGAAGAGAGATCCGGTAGAAGACTGGTGGACGGCGCGTCCCTGGGTCCTGGAGCTCAGAGAAGCACAGATTTGGAAAGGGGAGACTCCATAAGCAGAGGAAGGAGGTCGCCCAGCAAGCCAGACTTCCTCCACAAAAAGTCTGCCCTCTGAGGGCCGCCTCCCAGTCGTCCGTGCCTGGATGTGAAACATCCCATTTTATGATGTAACCCGACAACTTACAGACCAGTTTATCGATGCCAGCTGATAACTCAGTTCACATTGCTTTGTTCTAGTTTTTATAGATATATATGTGTGTGTTTATTAGACATGGCATGCTAAGAGGGTTTTTTTGTTTTTTTTTAAAATGCTGTATCTGTCTATTTTGTTTTTGAACAGTTGTGTGGGGAAGCCTTTTTAAGAGCAAGCAAGCTGGCACTTTTTTTTCTCTTTGCAGATGATGGGATTATTTTGCACTTGTACATTTATTTTATCTGTATTGATTATTTTATTGGTATGTTAAACTTTATTGCCACATTTAAAAGACTATTTTCATACTTTTCATCTACCGATCTATGTGCATTGGATTGCACACTAAGATGTATTTTCTTATGAAATAGTTGTGTTTATTTTTTAATTATAGAAATTCCAAAGAACAGCACATCAAAATGCTCCTCTCTTGTCAGTAATTATTTTAGTTCAGAAATCTTCTCACTCAATCTCCATACATTTAATGTCATTCTTTTTTAGTAAATCCTGAGAGCTGGTCTTCATTCCTCCATCGAGAGTCCAGTCAGGGTCCTGAGATTTGCCGGTTCTGTAGAGAACAGGAAGGAGAAAAGGCTTTTATGCCCAGGCGGACGCTGTTGCGCTACTCAGGGTGTGGTAGGGATTTGCATGTCAGTAGACGAGGCTCTCAAGAGATCGGATCCTTCCGAGTTGTGAAGCGGTAGAAATAGTGTGTAGCTTACCGGTCGCACTGGCAGGATTTCTGGTTCTGAACATCAACTCTCAAGCTGCAATGGGTGAACTGGCTGCTTGTTGCCTTTGGTTGTCTTGCTGTGTATGGGGAAAAAAAAAACAAAAGGGCTTCAAATCTCATGGATGTTATTTGGTATTTGTAAGCATATTTTTTAAAAAGTGTTTTTCCAAGTATGTTTGAATTTTGGTGTCCTATAAAAAGTTGTTGCGCCATGCTTTGTCACCAAAAGAAAAAAATTGTTTTCAGTTAAACACTACATGGCCTACTTGAACTCCACGACGCTGGTTGGCATTTACTGGACCACTGAGCACATGGGGTCTTTTAAGAGCCTGTCCCTTGGAGGGGCAATGTGTGAGCTAAGGACTGTTTTTTTCTTACTCTCCAATATCAGTGTATTAGCATTTGAGTTGTTAAGTCACTTCATTATTTGAGCATTCACTTTGTATTTTCACAAACACATCCACAGCCGTAGCACTTAGAAGAAAACAGACTTTCTGAACATTCCCTCATATGAAAATATCTGGGAACCTGTGTGTGTGTGTGTGTGTGTGTGTGTGTGTGTGTAAACTATGAGTCACTCACACTCTAAAACTATGCAGGGCTAGGGAGCCTTTACAAGCTACCAGATAAATGAATTACATGCACTTTGAAGTCAGTAGGTTTCTATGGATGTCAACAACTATGATTTCTCCCACAACTGGTTTCTCTTCTGGTCTTTTCCTACTTCACCCTGTGGATATACACTCAGGAATAGTCTGACATTTTAAAAAAGTCTAGCATTAGATAGTCTCAGAGAGGAAGGGTGTGTCTGTAGACACCGGTTCACTGCCACCACGTGTGCTGCCCCCTGACCAGTTAACTGCTGCTGGTGTGCTTGCTGGTGCTGGCAGTGGTGCAGACTGAGCTCCTGCCCAGCCAGAGCCAACACTGGCCAGCAGGTTGGCTGCATGTCACCTTTGAGACTCCTTCAAAGAGAAAGACACAGGACTTTGTTCTCATTTGTAAGAGGTCTGACTTTCATAATAGATGATGGTGTCTTGTAGAAGCCCAGTCTTAGTCTCTCTCTTCAGAAACAAAAGATGCTAATTCCATCGTATTCCTTAATATGTAATTTTATTATAGATATGTGTAATGTACTCATATTTTGATGTAGTTTTACATTTTTATTTGGAATCAGACTGTACTGTGCTGGTACTGCAAATAAGAATGAGTAGACCTAATCTGGAAAAAAACTTTCTCATTTCTAGCATATTTTTTTACCTCCAATGTTAAAACAGGGCTGTTGATACCACACAATCATTTTTCTAAATATTCATGAACTATTCTTTCATATCCCTGAAATATAACTATAAAAATAGGCCGGGCTCGGTGGCTCAGCCTGTAATCCCAGCACTGTGGGAGGCCAAGGCGAGTGGATTTCCTGAGCCCATGGGTTCGAGACCAGCTTGGGCAACTTGGCGAAACCTCATCTCTACAATAAATCAAAAATTAGCCGGGTGTGGTAGCACATGCCTGTAGTTCCGGCCTCTTGGAAGGCTGAGGTGGAAGGATCGATTGAACCCAGTAGGTTGACGCCGGGGTGGCCATGAGTGTGCCACTGCACTCCAGCCTGGGTGACAGAGTGAGACTCCAACTCAAAAGAAAATGTGTAATTTATAAAGTTTACTTTTAGTAATTTAGTAGCTTACCTGGCCAAACTCTCTGTACAGAGGGCCAACTTGCTCTGGTCTGTGGGATCATGGACTGATGTGACTTGCAGAAGGTAAGCAGGCGTGGGTTTTGTATGCATTAGGCAGCTGTTAGTGAACTCTTAACGTTTCCTGTGAAGTATGGTTAATAGGGTGGGTCGAATAGCTGTGTGCCTCTGGCTTTTCAGCTAATCTATTAAATCTTTTTTAATGCTGTATTTAGGTAAATGTGAAGTCTGAGTAAGGGGGTTCTCAGAAACAAATATATGTGTGATGTAAAGTTATAGGCCACAGGAACGGGCATTTTCCTTGGTATGTCAATGAGAACCAAATCACAGAAATACCAGATCTCCCTTTGAGGCTGTGGACAATCAGGCCGTTTGGACAATCACCACTTCCAGTGCCCACTGTGTGCGACGGTTGGAGGACTCCATTAGGTGCAAAGAGGAGAGTCGCACTTCTTGAAGACACTGTTGACCTTTTTCTTACAGTTTTAGTTTTGTGGCTTCGATAAATGAGTCAGAAGCCACGTGTGGCTCCTGAGGAACAAAAGAGCCACATGAAAGATAACAAGTATTACTGTTTTATTATTATTTTGTAGAGATAGGGACTCGTTGCCCAGGCTGGTCTCAAACGAGGCTCAAGTGGTCCTTCCCTCTTGACCTCCCCAAGTGCTGGGATTACAGACGTGAGTCATCACACCAGCAAAAGGCAAAAATTATTTGAAACGTAATTGTTGAAATCCTCCATGCCCATTCTCACATGCCCCATTTAACTGTATTTCTAGTCCCGTGTCCCTAGACCTAAGCTAACCTGATATTTCAATAACCTTCCTGGCTTTTAAGAATTTTTAGTGAGTTATTAATATCTTAAGTCTTTTTGTGGAATTCTTTTTTTTGAAAGCAGGATTTATTGAGAGGACAGAAAAGCTCCCACAATGGGAGGAGACCTGAGGGGGTTGCCTTTTTTGTGGAATTCTTTATGAAACTTTACCTAATTCTTGTTTTGGCTTCTTTAGAAGCCCTGTTTTTTATTACACTTGTCATTCCTTCTTGGTTTTTTTCTTTTGATGTTGAAGTTCTAGCAGTGAGCATAACACTTGTACATTGGAATTATGGTGCAAAACAAAGAGGAAGCGGCAAATGTGGCAGTTGCAGTGCGGCTTGAAGCCGACCTCTGAGCGTCACTCTCTCGAGTCGAAGGGTTAACTTTTCTTAGCAACTATCCAGCAAAATTTATCTATTTTCATAATGTCGAATCTGCTTTTTAGGGAAAAATGTTTCATGAAACACTTGTAAGATACTTATTTTGCAGTTAATTGTAAGGCATTCATGCTTTTATTCTGGGACTGAATTAAAAGGGAAATGCTTCTTTGACTTTTTAAAATTGTCTGGCTGACTTTCAGCTTTCTGTAGCAGCAGTGATGGGTGCTATTCCTGGTTCTGCAGTCGTTTACTTTGTCTACTAAGTGATTTACTTTCAAATCTCAGTATGGATAATCTTGCTAAAAGAGTTACCATGCACACCACTACAAGATATTTTGCTGCTTTCATTAACACTGTTGTATGAACATTGTTTTATGAAATGTCTTTTTGTCCGATAGATTGCCATAGCTGTTATGTAGTTATTGTATTGGCAAATCTTTTGATTTTTTTCCTCAGACTGTATCAGCCTTTCATATTCTGAATATTATAATGCTATGGCCGTTTCTGTAGAAAGGTTACTTGCAAGTCTTTGTCTTGAAAACAATCTCTTGTGTTTGTGTGTTTATGTGAGTTCTGTCTGCAAGGCCCGATAAGCTCCGGAAGCTTCATCGTATGTACCTGCACGTGACTATGTCTCTGGGTTACGTGGGCAGTGGTACAGAGCCCTGCTCATAGCTGTGTGGCCGAAAGAGAAACGTTCCTGAACTCCACTTGCTGTGTGTGTAGCACATCTGTACTTCAGAGAGGTGGAGCCTTCCACAACACTGCATTTCTTGTGGTTGTGCTGTTACTGGTATAGCGTCAAGTGCCTTCGATGCTAAAGGCTCAGAAATTTTTCTTAAACTGATTTCATGTCCTATGCAAGTGTTTTCTACAACCTGCATAACCAGTACTTTGTAAAACTTGTTTACGCTTCAATTGTACATAGTGATTTTTAAAGAAATATATAGTATTTTTATTTAGTACCTCCAAACTTGAATTCGTCTGTGTGAAGCATTGTAAAATGATACATTTCTCTTTTGAGTACCATTACAGTTGTACAGAGGTTTTCACTGGTTCTATTTTTCTACTGTTATTGATGAGCATGTAACACCGACTTTATCCTACATATAGGTGGCATTTCAAATAAACGGCTTGTATAGAATCTGCTGAGTCGGATACAATCTGTTTTAGCAGTGCAGCATACAGTCTGCAATTACGGAAGTGATTGTCCCCTGGAGGGTAGAATTGAGAGATTCTCTAGATTGCTTTCCTCCCTTTTTCTAGAATTTCAGTCATTCAGAGCCATTTAATTATTATAATTTCCTTGGGAATCACAGTTTATTCTGAATCATCAATTTCATTATTCCTGTCATTTCGTGGATGCGTTTCTGAGAGACTTCATTTTACAAGTTTAAGCAAAAACTTCCTTGGTTAGGAGACCCTAGAGGAAGCTCAGCATTGCACCCATGTGAACTTGTCACCCGGATGTGTTCTGCCTTTCAAAGGCCTCCAAGGGTCAGAGACCTGGCTTAGATCCTGAGCATTCTTTCCCTTGCCAACTCACTTAGTAACGCTTTTCTATTTCAAAAGCAAGTCGAATCATGATCTAGAGTCTAGGACTCTGAAAACACAGGCCAAACGGGACGTTTCCTAATTTCCTTTTTAAAAACGGCTCTAAAAGAGCTCGTTAAATTTTTGCTTTCACCATTGCACTGCTGAGTTCCAGCCTAGCATCTCATCCTTCATGCCTTGCTAGGTAAAATTCCTCTAGAGCTTGTAACCACCTTGGGGTTGACATATCCACCTACAATTTAAGGTTCCTGTGGGTGAGCTGCTTAAATCCAAAAGAGGAAGTGAACAGATCAACTTTCATGTCTGTACTGTGGATCATCCCTGGTTATTTCCCTAGCCACATGAGACTTTATGTCTCCTTAACACGTTGGAAAATATTTCTTGAGTCAATACTTCCCAGAGTCCGGAAATGTGGAGCAGCCGACCAAGTGGGACCTGTTCTCAAAAACGTTGAACT